CGCAGAGGGTCACATTCCCCCCCCCCCCCATCTGTGCGTGGGGCACAATAAATAAAGCATCCCAGTCCACAAGTGCACCGGAATTAGGGTGCAGTAATTAACTAACTCCACCATAGGGTAGTATTGTTGAGGACAATACGATTGTACAGCAGAGAAATTTACTTCACTGAAACGCACATGTAGATGGCAACAGGGGCTGGCTGGGGCACGAGGGTGCTACAGTATGGAGCCTGCCTTCTGCCTAGCTCTGCCCTGTAGCACCCTCATGCCTCCACTGCTGCCATCTGGAACCCAGGGCTGACCCCGTGGACACCACCGCCAGCCCTGGGCTGCTCTGCCCCAGCTCAAAGTGCTGCTGTCCCAAACACGTGTGCAGACACTGCCTAGGAGCTGTCTTCTCCAGTATACGCTGTGCCTGACTTAGTCACATCACACTAACTACACATCTAGATGCATCCATTTTTACCAAAATAGATGACTGAAAATGCTTCAGTAGTAGAAGTTAGTTAACTCACACTATAGCAACTGATCAATAACACCTTTAAGTCTTTGCCTATTAGACTTCCATCCACTGAAGACAGAGTTAGAGCAAATGCTGATGTCTCAGCAAATGTACACAAGGAATTATATATTGAGGGAGCAAATGTGTATTTCTCTCTCTTGGGGGCCTGCAATTTGTGCCTGCTATTTGACTTGTTGCTAAAGAATGTACAGTCTTACTCACAGAGCCAAATGTAACAAACAGCTTGGCACACCACTGATGAAATATCCTTTAGATCACTTACTTGTGTGCAGGCCAGATAAGCGATATCCAGTCCATATCCAGTGTGCAGGGCAAGGAGGAGGGGATGTAGCCTGGCTCCAACCTGGCTGCATGGGGCTTGGGAATTTGGCAGTTGAGGGATGAAGGAACAGGGTAGGGGTGCATGGCAGCAGTATTAGTTGCCACTGTTTCCCTGCTTTCAGATTTCCCAGCCCATGAAGAATTCTGTGAGCTGGATGCCATGGCTCTGTGGGCCAGATCTGGACTGTAGCCAGGGCCCAAGCACCCCTAACTTAAGACTATCAGCATAATACAGTAGCTGTATGAGAGCTGGCTACATCTCTAGCTTGCTCCTACTGGCAAAGTGCTAAGAATCTTTTTTCCCCCCTTAGTGAAAATATATCAAATGCTAGACTTTGAATTATTGCATTTCATAAAACACAGACTTTTCCCTTGCTCACACCTGAAATCCAAATTCAGTTATGAAGTTATTAGCCTAAGCAGATATTACTTGCCATTTTTGCATTCCTTTCTTAAGCTTCCCTACCAAACTATTTGCTATATCTCCAATATAAGAAGAGAATAAACAAACTACAGGTACAGACACAGGAAAATCTACAATGTGGTAAAGTTGGCAAGGGTCTTACTATGAATTAGATGCACCAAAATGACTGTCTATGTGCATGCTTTTGCACTGCGGTAAGTGGAAGCTAAAACATGACAACTAAGCGTTCGATGAAACAGTGATAAAGCAAATGATGATAATTTCCTTACCTGAATTTCTAAGATCAGCCCAGCTATCTGATGTTGTTGATTGTCTATGACCTATCAAGAAGAAAACAAATGAGCATCACATTCAAAAAAGTCTGATTCTGTGTTAGTTTTAAGTGACAGTTTTTCCATAAATTCTGATGCAACTATTTTCTAATATCAAGCACATCTCTCAAATTGCATCCCCTAAAAGACCTAAATGAGAAATACTTTGCACCTATATGGCAGTTCCCATCATGAAACCACTAGCTGCTCAATTGATCAATTAGCCAAGTAAGTTTCTTCTTCAAAACTTAATCTCTGCATTATGTTTGAATTGAAGCTCATTTCTTTTGAGCAACTGAAAATTCATGCAAAACAAAAGCCTTGACCACAGAAGTATGTGTGGAAGGGAAACCTCAATTAGCAATAAACATGAAATAAATCCTAAGTGAGCAATAAATAAAACAAACAACACAGCAAGATACAAAGCTTCAGGGGTACAGATGCTACCAGTAGCTTCTGTAATCAGTTCCATGTACTACCTTACTGGCTTTCTCATTCTCTTCTCTGAGGCATTCATTTTCACTCTGCAGCTGTTTTGTGTCCAACATGGGGAGACGAATACCATCTTCCAGGCATTTTTCTACTTTTTGCTGCAAACTGCAATTGAGAATTAAAGATGCAAGAGATATCAGTGAATTATTTGGGGGAGGAGCAAAGCACTAAAACTGAAATATGTTCTAGAGGAAAATATACACAACCACTATCACCTGGTTTACCATCACACCCACCGAGATTGTAGGCCCATAGTCCAGCTTCAGTCCAAGCAAACAGACTGGAGGACGAGTAATTTAAAATCCTGAAATCCCTGGAATCACTGTCACTGACAAGAATAATCACCTGAATACAAAGGAGAGGCTTTGCTACATGTCCTGTATAGACACCTTTGCAAATATTGTATTCCTTAGTTCTAAAATAATTCCCAGTCCAGATTCTGTGCTGTGTCTCCCAGGACACTCTGCTCAGGTTTGACCCAGCAGGCGAGGAACAAACTTGTGTGCTACGTGGATTCTCAGCTGCTTGGGGGACCCCTACACAGCCCTAGCACAGGTCAAAGTAGCATTGAGGACTGCTTTGACTTAGAGAGACCTGTAGCCAGGTCTCTGCCAACCTGCAAGGGGAAACCTGTGGTTTCCCATGCTTTTCTCCTTTAAAGGAGAATCCATTTTTAAAGTTTGTTTGTGACCCTTTCATATATTCTTGTGACCCACTTTTGGGTTGCAACCCACGGCTTGAGAAACACTGGTTTAGATCATACTTGTTACACAAAGAGTTTGATGGATGGCTTGAAATCTCTACCTTAGTGCAGTTCAGGGCTGCAGCCAGGCTGGACCAGCTCCAGGCAGGAGCCACCTCTGCAGCCCAGTGGGTGGGATCTGATGCAGGCCGTGCTGCCATGGCCTGGCTACAGCCCCACAACCCCACTGTAGGAGCAGAAATCTGGGAGGGCACATGCCTGCCCCACATCACCTGTGTCCCGTCCCCCACATATGGCTTGTGCACCTCCACCTCCCCAGATGCTTAGCCTGTGCCCCCACCCCTCCCCCCGACTTACCTAGCAGGAGCTACTCTCTACTTCTGCCTGGCCGCCACGTGCAAATACTGCCCCCTGTGTCCTGCTCCCCCCAGCCCCAAGCAACCCCTAGCAGGCTGGAACTCTGCCAGCCTGCAAAGGGAAACCACAGTTTCCCACATTTTTTCTTCTTTAAAGGAGAAAGTCTACTTTTTTCTCCTTTAAGAGAGAAAATCTGCTTTTTTCTGCGAAAAACAGGAAACCTGGACAGACCCCCAATTATGAGCAATATAGGCAGCCCCTTTCCTGTTGTTATAACTTCACCACTGTCTTTAAGACATGGGCATGGCAGAGCTGGCATCCTGGCTTATTGCCACCGAGGTGGGAGGAGGGTTGGAAAAAAAGAAATGTGCACAGCAAAGGAGCATTGTTTACAGACTCTTAGTATTCTGAGAGAATAAGTGACTTTAGGTGGTAGGAGGAAGCTCAGTTGATAGTGGCTGAAGGGTAAGCCAAACCACAGAAGGGTCAGATACTTCAAAGTCCCAATTCCATCTCCTACCTTTTGTCACAGACAATGGAGAACATTTTCTGGGAGATTTATCTGCAGCTGGTGCCTAGGCATTGACCTTACATGCTTGTAAAAGAACAAATGGGACACATTTCCATGGAAAAATTCCAGCTGGATTACTGACAATGCTGTCATGGTGTAGGTTAGATTCCTAGTGCCACTTAAAAGCTTATGTTAAAAATAATAGGGAGAAAATGTAATTTGCAGTGATGTGCAGTAACGAGTAAAAAAAGAGGCTATGAAAAAGAGGATCATTTTCACTCATTTCTGGTGGGTGTCACTTCAGTTCAGTGCCTCTCACTGGCTTGGCCATGCACCTCAGGACAGCTGCCTAAAAGTGTTTCCATGATGAAAGGCTAGCTGATTGGGACGTCTAGCCAGTCAGATCATTGGGCACATTGTTTCCAGCTTACAACAGATACACCTTTTTATTTGTGCCTGTGTAATCTACAGGGGATCATTTAATCTTCCCTGAAAGCCTAGAAATAGTTGAAGTGGTCTCTGGTTTCTAAATTAGAAAGCAGGATTGTCACAGCAATAAAAGGCATTTATATGAAGAATCGTGAAGTGGGGTAAGTGCTAGCGGGCACGGACTTGGAATGAGCTGCAGGAGACCAGAGAACGTTCTCCTGGGGTAGGAGTGATTTGGTGACATCAGTTATTCTGCAAAGCTCTTTCATGAGATCCATCAGAGGGGGCAGGAATAAGAGGCCAGAAGACGTGATACTACAGGTGATTTGGATTGCAGTGCAGAGCCTATGCACCCCAAAAGCCTGGCTACAGGCTGCAGCTCTATTCCCGCACAAATCTCAGGGGTCATGTGCCCCTCCTTGCCACCTACACACCCCCAGCCCCACACACTGAGGGGGCTGAGGCCTGAGGGTTATGGGTTGGGAGTGAGGAGCACCAGCGGGGCCAGGGGGCTGTTTTCTACTTAAACTATTTGCTGGGTTGGGACTGGCCAAAGTTTACAAATGGGTCCCATTCCAAAAAAAAGTTGAGAACCACTGCACTAAACCATTCCTAGGGTGCCATTCAAGTAGGTATTCATACCTCTGCACTGTTGAGACCAATTCCTTTTCTTTTTTTTTCTGACACACTAGTTGCAGCTCTTTTTCCCTGCATTGTGCTCTAGCTTCTCCAAGCTTCTTCTCCAAATCTGCCACTGTTTCTTGGAGCTGCTTGTTCTTCTCTTCCAGAATTTGCAGCTAAAGCATGACATCAGAACAGTCAGACATAAATGATACATTTTATATTAAAAATGCTTCCTACAAGCTCCAGCTTTACAATTATCTTCTGACTACACATCAGTCTCATCACTAAATTTTCAACTATTGTGCACTTAACTTCACTATAAATATCCTTGTTACACTGTAAAAGCATTTTTTAAGATTTAAACTATTTCTATCTCTTACCAAGTAACAAAAATAGTGATACACATTGAAATGAAAGCAAGAGGAACTACAAAACCATCAACAATGGATGTCATGGAATATTTTTAAATCTGTACATCTTAAGTAGTATTACAACTAGAAAACTCTGCTTACCTGCTTACTCTGACTTTCTATGTCATCCAGCGTTGGCAGGTCAGCCAGATATTTTTCTAAGGTTTCAATTCGCCTCTGTTTCTCTTTGTTTTGTTCTGACTCTTTCTGGCATTTCTTTTTCAGGCTATTTATGTATCTGTCTCTAGTTTTAAGCTAAAAGGGAAGAAAATTACATATTTTGATTATGCCAGAAAATATATGTACAGGATAATCTGGAAATCAGTATCACAACGCTCAAAACCAGCTGATCTACAAAGCTATATTCCAAGCCAGAAGTAAGGGTTAACTATTACAGAACATGAAATGAAACGGTTGCTTATTTTGCTTGACTTCAATGATGTTTAAATATGTATGTAGTCTTGAAGCATCTGAAGCCAGTTTTGTTTTGTTTTTTTTACCTCCCATGCCTTGGGAGTTGAAAATGCTTATTTATACATTTAATTTTTAATTCTGATTGTAGAAGTATCCAAAAAGTGCTAGAAATAGCTCTTCTGTAAATGAGTATGCACTTGGCTGCTACACTTCACGGGACTGCAGACAAAAACCAGTAGCCAAGAACTGTTTCTTGGACTAGTGCAAAAGTGCCTTCCCCAAGGCAGTAAAACTGCAAGTTTTGTTCCTACTGCTACTCAGGAAAGGGGACTCAGGTATCTCTTTCCAAGTTCATATTAGAAACTGGTATATTTTTCCAAGTTTAGGTTAGTATTCTTTGAATTGTGGCACATTAGCCTTTAATGTATATGACCCTACCTTTTTATTAAATTACTTTACATACTTACTTCAAAAGATCTTAAATAACTACTATGGGTTGAAGCCATGCAATTCGGCCAACAGCTATACTGGACAGAGGGAAGACTGGTAGTCAGGGTTTTGCTCTACTCTCACTTCCACTAACTGGCTGTGTAACATTGTCACTTTTTCCTCTCACTCTGCTTGTTTTGGGCACAAAATCTTTCTCATGATGTGCCTACTAATAGGGTCCTAATCCAGCTGGTGACTGTGTGTGATAAAGTAACTATCTAGCACTCACATAAGTGTGTTTCATCAAAGCACTTTAAACAGGAATTCAGTATCATTACCTCCATTTCACGGACAAGGAAACCGAGGTGTAGAGTGGCGACTTGGCTTGCTCCCAGTCATTGATCAGGCCAGTGGCCACAGAACGGAACCAAGGCCTTCCAGGCCCCAGTGTTGTGCTCTGCCTACTAGGTCACTACTGGGATCCAAACCACTTGTAGTGTCATGCCCTGTGGCAGTCTTATGATTCTCCTTACAAAGGTTTTTCTCTGGTTCTCATATTATTAAATACACACACTACAAAGAGGTAGCCAGATAATACCTTCTTAGGAAAGTTGCTCTGTTTGTTTCAGAATATTATTTTGTGCATCTGCTACAGGAATAAGAAAAGTGTTTCAAATGCATAAGTACAAAGATTTAACCCAACAGGAATCTCAAACAGAGCTTCAACCTTGATGGAATCTAACAACTATACAAGAAGACATCACAATGAAATAGCTGCTTTGTTTAAGGCAGCTTTCCGAAACCAATCTTTATTCACCAACAGCCTGAAAAAGATTCTCTTTGTTATGTCTTATGACCAGTCCCAGAATGACCATGCATTCCTGGCACTTGGTTTATTAACAGGACTTAATATAAACACACCCCAAACCTCTTTTCATTCAGAATGTGATTTAATAAAAATTATATCTGTGCTGTTCAGACCCAGAAATCAAGCAACTTACCAGATAAGAAACACCTACAGTACAGATAAATGTGAACTGTAAGTTTTAAAATGTAACTGACATTTCTGTGTGGGGTGCTGGGGACATTGTTCTTGCTGAAAATAGGTGTACACCACTGGCCAGATCAGAACCCAATAACAGTTCCAAAAGAGTTTAGCAGATAATATTTTTCTCCAGGTACAATTTTTCAAGCCAGGAGCCTCGGGGATGCCAGAGGGCTGTAGACACACACTAGAAAATTTTTTTTGATGATTTGTAACAGAAATCTCTTATTTTTCTGGGAGCAAAAACTGACAGAGCATCCCATCCTGAAGAGACACTAACACTTCTCTTTCTCTAGAGAAGGTTCAAGTCATGGACAGGCCTACTGCAATGTCCATCATTTTCAGAACGCTGATTACATGGCCTTCCATGTCTCCTCTCATGTACCCACAGCCTCCCCTGAAGTCATACTCTGCACCTTCTCCCTCAAGTACTCCTGGCTAGAAGGAGAGGAGCAGCATGTACCTCTTAAGGGAACCTGTTCAACAAAATTAAATGAACAGAAATTAAAATTTCAACATGTGGTAACAAGTGTACTGCTCTAGACTGGTACCTGGCACAGCTGTTTCTAGCATCACTTTGTTTATGTTTGTTGCTATCACAGGGCACCTATACATTAGTGCCAAGGCTGCTCCAACACACTGGAATTCCAGCATATCGGAGCAGACACGATTAGTTGAGGCTGCTGGAGTGTGGCAATTGCCATGCTCCACCAGCCTCCTGCGTCTTGTGTATCAACATCCTTGTGCTTAAAAATGGCAGCAGGGTCACTTAAACTAAAGCTTGTCAAATGAGCTTTCGTTCAAGTGCCATTTTTAAGTGCAGGGATGCTGATACACGAGACATGGCAGCACTTTAATTACAGTGGCTCTCAGAGCCACTCTAATTAAAGAGCTGTCCCCTCCCCACCCCCAGAGCACATGTAAAAGTGCCCAGTGTCACAGAAGTTAAACACGAAAACCACTTACTTTCTCTTCCATCTTCTTTTTATCCTCACTAGATTTGTTTGATAGTTGTTTAACGTACTCATTGAGTTCCAATTCTTTAGTCGCAACTGCTGCAAGCTTTCGCTCAAACGCCTCACAGTGGGATACTGATCTTTCCGAAAACTGAGGTTGCAGTGATGTGCTCTCATATTGTGGTTGCTTATAAAGAGAGCGAGAAAAAAAAGGAGAGTTAAAGTGCAGCTCGCATTAGCTTGAAATTACCAGATGGCTCCTAAAGGAGAGGAGAAAAAAAAAAAAAGGAAAACACTCATACTTAGTAGGCTGGAAAACAAACCAGTAGAGTCTTGCAAAAAGAATAGCACATATGTTATAAAATGCTTTGTGATGAGATAGCACAACAGAGATTGCCCGTGAGAAATAAACCACTTTAAAAAAAACCCCCAAAATAAACACAAAGACCCTTAATGCTGCAGTATACTTTTTACAAGCCAAAACAGTAGGACACATTTCAGCTGATATCTGTGCATGATTTCTAAGCATTAGAACAAAAGATACCACCAGCGTCATTTCTGGAAATGGTATTTTGTAAAGAAGAAAAATAAACTGAATTTGGCAGCTGTACCATAACAGTAGGAATAATGGCCTTCACAAAAAACCTAAATGGAGACAGTTGTAGTATGTGGCCATGTCTGGATGAGCATAGACTTTTGTTTCCCTGGGGACAAGTAGCAGTGGCATACCTCCTGTACCCAGGGAATGCCCGTGCCACGTACGCTCAGGTGTTCAGAAGGTAGCTCCAGGTGGGATACGGAAGGCTGGGGCCAGCAACTCTGCTGGCTCCACCAGTCTTACCCAGGGTCCTGAGGCCTTGGGGAGCTGCAGCCGTGGCGCTCCTGCAGCTAGGAGCCTGGCCAGCAGCTGGAGTGTGGCTCGAGCCAGCCAGGCTTCAGTTTTGAACGGCACGTACTACTGCCACGTGCGCTGCTCTGCTTTTTGGTGTGTGTTTTTTTGACCCTGGGATGTCCAAGGGTCAAAAAAACCCTTCCGTGCTGCAAGGTAGCAGCACAGGGAACACCTGCATGTGTAGTGTGTGGCACTGCACACGAGTCTGCAGCACCACATAGCGGACGTTGGCACTCATCTGGACACAGCCTGTGGGACCAAATTAGATTTCCTTTGCGAGAGCAAACAATTCTGAAGTGCTTACAAACTAAAACACTATCCCACTGCAGCAGTATAGCCACATGAACCTTTTGTTCAGAACCACCTAAACCAGGTGGTTGTGAACAAAATGTTGCGATTCTTAGCTCTCTTAAGTTTTATGAAAGGGTAGGCATTATGATCTACATACAATTAATGGTGAAATTGAAGTAAAGAGAAGCAAAGCAACTTGCCCAAGAGGTTCCCAAGTGGCAGAGGTAAGAATAGATGTGAAGCCTCTTCTCTTGTACCCTGTTTGTTGAAGCAGGTTGCCTTCCCAAATCATAAGAGTGAAAATAATTTTTCATTGTTCATGGTGAGATCAGATCAGTGTGGGATTGCAGGAGTGGCAAAAAGTAATAGGAATTTAAGAAAGAAAAAAGCCTCTCTTGCAATAAACTGACAAAGAGAAGTTTAAAAGGCCATTTGACATACCTGAAAAGATGAATTTTGAACTGATAATGCCCCTTAAGCACAACAGACAAAATACTGAAAATCATTTAAAATTTATAGGGATTAAAAACATCTATGAGGAATGCCATTAAGAAAATCTCCAGTAGTAGAGGATGAATAAACAAATTAAAGCTCAAAGACTGGTTTTAAAATACAATTAAATCATGAAAAGCTTCATGTATTTACAATACATTTAATTAATGTGCATTATTATATATATCAATGATTTCAGATTGCAATGGGCGGGTAGGGGCTGGAAACTGACACATTTAAAAGATACACCAATACTTTATTCTTTCAGAAACAGTCTCATTCACCCAATCCCTAAAAGCAACTAATATACACCAAAATTATTAGGTTTGTGTGTTGGAAGAGTTTTCTATACCTTCCACATGTGCTTAAAAATAGTTAATGTTTCCATTTGACCCAATACACATTTATTACAGACATACTCAAAAGTCAAAGAGTAACATGCTGCAGAGCAAATGACTGGCATTCAAAGTTTTCTTCCTGCGGGATCAGATATTAGGTCTGTGTGAAGCAGCAAGTATTCGATTCAGATTTGGCTGATTCAGAGAGATAGTGATTTGATTTGGTGATTCAAATCACTGGCCGGATTTGATCTGGAGGATTCGGAGATTTGGCCATAGACTATAATGGGGAATCACTAAAATACCTATAACTTGGTCATTTGTTTTGCATATTCAGATGAAAACAGCAGGGATGGCAGCCTCTTCTGAGGGCATGAAGCCTGCCAAGTTTCAAGGATATAGGTGCAGGGGTTTCTGTGAAAGTGCCCCTCAAACTGTTGAAAGCAAAACTCATATTACTTGTGTGCATTAAGGCACAGCGGGATGAAAGCAGCAGGGATGGCAGCCCCTCATGAAGGCATGAGGCCTGCCAGATTTCAGGCAGAGTGGTGAAGGGGTTTCTGTGAAAGTGCATCTCAAGGTTCTGAAAGCAAATAAAAAAAGGCAATAAGGTGCGGAGTAAGGAGGGTGGCACTCACTCTGTCTGCACGCGGAGCTTAGGGAACCTCAGCAGCAGGAGGTTCACCTTGAGGAACTCCAGCTGCTCCACCAGACCAGGACCCAAGGAGGTACAGTGGAGTGTCACAACATCACCAGCAATGCTGAACCCCCTCTCGCTTGGAACACTGGTTGGTGGACAGGACAGGTGATCCTGGGCAACCGTGGCCAGATCCTGCCACACTTGGCTATGGGTTGCCCAATAGGCGAAGCAGTGGCAGTGCAGTGGCTTCACATCCTCAGCGAGATAGGTAGCCACCAAGGCCCCCGTGCTACTATGGCACTCTGTCAAGGAGCAATACACATCCTCTGCCAGCAAAATGGGGTCAGAGGGGCAAGTAGAAGTGCTCTGGGTCAAGACACAAGGGGGCCATGGGGAGAGGGATCTAACGGTGGGGGTCTACTACAGACCCCCCAACCAAGGGGAAGAGCTGGAATGGGAATTTTCAGGCCAGCTTGCACAGGCACTTAAGGCAAGGGATGTAGTTGTCATGGGTGATTTAAATTACCCAGACATCTGCTGGGAGGAACAGTCAGCCTGGTCGGACTGTTCCAGGAGGTTCCTGTCCGAGATACAGGACCTCCACTTAATCCAGGAAGTGCACAGTCCCACCAGAGGAAATGCGCTGTTGGACCTGGACCTGGCCACAGGCGATGACCTGGTAAGGGGCCTCCAGGT